AAAGCAGTAGCGCCGCAGAAACTCCGGCACCCCCACCACCACCTTCCCCAGCAGCAGCAGCAGCAGCAGCACCACAGCCCCCAGCTCTGCAGCACCATGGTGTTATTGTATTGTGTCTACGTGGAGAGTGTGAAGTTGTCTACAGCTATGAAAATTACCTGGGGGTGTCTGCAGACAGAGCGCACATTCATGGCTTCATTTGGTTGGACTGTGGATACAGCACGGCTCCTGTTCTCTCCACATAACTGAGACTTTGTTTTGCATCAAAGTCTGCAGAAAGTGAGCNTTAGTGCAGATCAAAAGGTTCTCTTGTATTTGTTATCACTGTCCTTAACAAAGTGGATATGACAGTTTTTTTTAAAGTCATGACTTAATCAGGTTCTAAATGGGTGAAGACACTGAGGCGGTGGTACTCAGCCTCAAAGCACACTTTCTCCCTTGTATGTTGTTTAAAGAAGTCAGAAGTTGACATTGGATATCGGCCAAAGGTCGAGGATGACACGTCATTGGGCATAAATAAATGCCCAGGTGAATTATTTTCTGTTTTCTTCACATGATTAGGCATGGTAATTATGGTTGAGATTAATCATAACTAATGAAGACTGGGCAACATTCCTGCATATGACCCACAGACATCTCTGAAACAACAACAGACACTGTTTTTATTTATGACTATTCCTAATGATGTATAATTCATATGGAAAATGTCACAAAATATATATAACATTAACCTTTGTACTGGCTGGTAGAACACTCTATACCAGATAAACGCTTTTTAATTCCTGGTTTTAGAAAATTCACCATTAGACGACAGAGTGAGTTAGAGAGTGTGCTTCTCTGGCTGGTGTTTAAGGAAGAGCCCAGGGCATGAATCACTACTGATGATGCAACTAATGTCATCAAAAGTTTTTGAATAACAATGTTATATCATTGCTCTAATAAGAATTATCATACCCTGTGACTAATATGTTAGATAAAGAAAAAAAAAAAAAAAGAGAAGGACCGCAGAGATGGTTGGTGTAAAGGTAGAAGAGGCCGGTGAGATGGAGGCAGGTGTTTCTATCAATGAACTATCCCTTATTTATAATACAGGTTAGCCTAGCTTTGTCATACTATATGTACTATTATGGCACAACACAAATGACAATGGACTCATACGCTGTTACATAATCTGGACAGTAGCACAGAGAGTCAGTCTGTTATGTCTCCTTGTTGACACTTGAAATTTTCAATCATCTTTCCTGAATGGATCTTACGTCCACCAAGATTGTCTCAGCTGAAAGTCCGGAAACTGTTTATACGAGGCTGACAGAAAATGTTCTGTCTGCTCTGTGAAGCAGCGACTGTTGTTGCGTATACGTCTGCTGCTGCTGATGTCCAGCTCTGACACTTGATTTTGAAAGTTTCCCCTATTACAGCGCTGCAGCCTTCAGATCAGACGTTTCCAGCCTGTATGTCAGTCAAGGAAGGATTGATGGACTTAGACATCTGTTGTTCTTTAATGACAGAGCGCTGCATAGATAATAAAGTGATGTACTGTTAACATTTCCTCAATTTCAATAAACATATGATGTCAAAGATTGTTAGTAAAGAAAGCCGTATTGGAGGCCTTAAAGCAGCTGATCTAGCTCCAGGACTCCGTGGGTTAACATCCATCCCACATTCCTGCCTTAATACTGCATCGTGGCTGAAGTAATAGCTGGATCTAAGAGCTTTTTTAGTTGAAGTGGAAGGGTTTGAGTGTCATTAATGCTGACTCAGCGGAACATTGCGGGTCTTGTGGCCATTATTTAAGCCCCGGCCGGTGGGTTGTCATCATCATAAAGGTGAGGTTGTCTCAGCCACTGAAACAGCCCCACACAGAGAACATTATGTCTCCACTCTTTAAAGGTTATTTCCATTAGTTATTCACAGAGAGGTTGAAGAGCTGGTCTTGAATGTGACGACGTTCTTCACATGCTGTGACTTATTTACCTACAGAGACATACACACTATGAGGGGAATGGGAGAAACCTTCTTCATCACTTGGCCAAAGCAGCAGATGAGGATTGTTAATAAACTGTTACCACGTTCCCAGGAATGTCTGGTTCAAATCCGCTCTTTAAATTCACTCTAAAAGACATAGTTGGTGTTTGTGTCAGGAAGTGTATACAGAGTGAAAACTGCACTAAATAACGATGAAGACGAGTGCTGTGGTGATGTTGGTCATCCAGTGTGTTGAGGTGAAATTAGAAGATCACATGATTTGGGTTGTGTTGTGGTTAAATTACCAGATATAAAGGTGAAACAAACATGTTAAAGATTTGTTTTATCAAAGGTTCTGTCCAAATGTTTGAAGAAGAAGTTTTCATGGACTGTCAGACTTTCAGCTTTAGTGTCTTTTTTCAAGCAGCATGCAGACTAAGTAATGTACTAATGTTTTATTTTTTCTTATCTAACTCTGACATCTGATGACAAACACAAAAATGCTGCAGTCTACTTTACACCTTAATATGTCCAACTTTTCTTTTCTTTTTTTTAACTCCAACACTTCATCACAACCTTCAGCCACCACATAACATTTTCCTGTTTTTCATTTTCCAGAGTGACATGAGTGACATGAGTCCATTTACTGCCAATAAAGCAAAGTGCACGAGTGTTTGCACTTCAAAACCTCCAACACCAAAGGATAGCAAGGAACCAACGTGGCCTTCATGTATAAATGGACCTGGTTTTGAGACCTGGAGTATTTGTTATCAATGTAACAGAATGAACAGCACTGCAGAGTTAGAGATGTTTGTTAATGAACTAGAACTTTGGTAGTTTGATTGCTGATGGGTCTCTGTGCAAGACAATAAAATCCATGTTTCTGTTGCAGGTTTCAAGCAGATACAAATATTTGAGACTGCAACAGAAAGTAAACCCAGATCAGTGGGTGTTTCTGCCAAGTTATATAATGATTTTAATGATATTTGTCAACCCTTTAGAGCCTCAGGCTGTAGCAGACTGTTACATATTTAGTGTGGAAGCCAGACAAGGACAAATTATTGTCAGGCAAATTGATTTCTTTCGAAAGATTTCCTGATATTTTGAGTTTTTTTTCCCCCTACTTTGATCTGACCTTCCTGGGCTGATCTACCCCACGAATTATCACCGCCGCTCTGTTGGCAGTTCATGCACTGAATGTTCTGTTGCTGCTCGTTAATATTAATCTGAGCTTTTTTTTATTTAATGCTTTCAAATGCCAGAGTGGCTTTTGTGCAAAGTACATCTGTGGGACAGCCACTCGGGATGTCCTCACTCCAGGTGACCTAGAACTGATGAAGACTTGAAGGTCAACAGGGAAATTCTGATGTCAGCAAGTTTTGTCCAGTTTTTATTTATGGCTTTTTCGTGATAAGAAAGCAGCCATGTTGTAGTTTTTGCCACTGGCTATACTCTATCTTACAGAATGTGATGTTTCTAATAGTTGAAAAGAGTTAAATAGACTATTGGCTTTTGGTAATAAAAATAAATAATTCCAGTAAATCGTACAGACTGTATTTGACGGATTAACATCAAATTCACTAAACAGGAGTTAAAGACACCAAAAAGACAAGTAGCAAAAGGTTACCAACTCAGTATTTAGATAGGGCATTTCTGTTGCCTTGCCCTGCTGGCCAGCAGTGGTACTTCATGTGATTAGAAGAGGTGTGGATGAGAAGGCTAACTGTTATGGTTATTGAGTTTTCTAACTATCTCTACGTTGACTTGATATTTATTCTGCTGAATTACAATCTTTGGATTATGCGTCATTTCATACCTGCTTTCAGAAGCAGGAACTTTATTTGTACCGTAGTAGTATTACTGCTTAAGCGTGTATCTTCCCTGGAAAGTCCGGAACTTGTGTTAGAATCGTTGACATCCCTTGGTGCCCTTTTTTTTCTGACCTACATACAGAATATGTGTGGATCATGTTATGTTGTTGTCAATGTGGTGACTGTTCATCAGCCTTACAGTTACTGCCACCCACATTCTGTTGATTGTCTGTGACCAGACTGTGAATTTCCCAGTCTGCATTTCTGATTCACACTCAGCAGCAGGTCAAATACAGGCTTTGACTTTTATTATTGAACTGGCCTCATCTGAACACATGAAAGGTTAATTTTCAGCATAATAGAAATGTGACTGAAGGATGAAGGCAGTCCTGAGACTGGGACACGCTCCAAATGATCCACAACAGCATTTGTAAAGAGATATTTCCTCTCATTTGGTTCTGTTGTATAGATAGAGATAGAGATATAGACATGAATTCACGAACACAGTGGGAATATGCAAACTGCTTTGAGAAAGGTCAACTGGGAATTGAACCAGCAACTAGTGATTTTCTTGCTGTAGTTAGTCCCCAGTCATCTTAGCATTTGTTGTTTCCTATTAGCAGCTTTGTTAATTTTGGGGTTCTATCCTGACCTTTCTTTATTGTTGCACAAAGCATTTGCTACATTTTTACTTTGGTCATTTTTTTCCTAACATTTAGCTATTTTGCATGACTATTAGCTGAATGAAATATTAGCTTAAATATTGTATAATTATTGTCTTAATGTTTTTGGTCCTGTCAAGGACTAGTACCATTTATTGCAGCCAAGGTACATAACACTTCTATTCTGTCAGAAATTGTATTGCAGCCAAGGTACATAACACTTCTTTTCTGTCAGAAATTGAAATTGTATTTATATGTCAGTGTGAAGGCTATGTTTGGAAAAAAGAAAAGAAATAAAAAGAAAATGTGAAGGTGCGGAAATAGAAAAGTGTTTCAGTTGCTGTGCATTTCCTCAGCAGGAGGTGCGAAAGAAAAGAATGTGCCATTCAGTTGTAGCTGAGGGGACAAATGTGTATCTGTGATGCATCTGTGATGTGATGGTTTGTAATGTGGGTCACTGGTAAATATGGATGTCTGAGGCAGATGCACAGAGTCATGGTCGTGTCAGAGTGCGATCATAGCTGTTAATGAACAAGACACGAGAGTCAGTAGAGAACCTCAGACTCCTGTCCACATACTTAACCTCGTCACTCTAAGACCCACATATAAAGAAAAGAAAAAGAAAAAGAAAACCAGTACGTATTTTTACTAAGTTCCTTCATTCACAGAAAGATCCACCATATTCATTTACTTTCTATATTTAAAGATAATCTGGCAATATTATAAAATTATAGGTCATTCAGACTGATACAAACAGAATAGAGTCTAAAAGATGATTTATTATGAAAATGTAATGATCCTTCAATGCTCAGAGTTCTTGGTACCAGTCTGTAGTAACGGGTGGTACCTGCTGACCAGTCCTTGGAACAAAAAAGTTAGGGTTGTAACTACTCCATAACACTAATACTAATACATGTTTCTGCAATTGATTATTATTTATTCAAGCTATAAATATTGTTTACTGCTGTGTAATAAAAACAGCTTTAATTTCTCAGGTTAAAAAACTCTTTGCTTTTCAAGCTCCCATTGGCTTGGCGGGCTGCATTTGGCCCCCGGGCCTTGAGTTTGACACATATGTCTTATATCATTCAGCAAGTAGCAGATCTAATTACAGCTGCTGTGCATCTGTTTCTGTTTCTTGAAGTTTGAAAGTGGGGTGATGTTCCTTTCCTTGATGTGAGACATTTCCACTGTACGATGGATCTGGACAGCAGGCAGGTCAGTAATGGACTAAGACCTGGCCATAATTACAAATCCAGATCATTTAGCAGTTCTTTTCAAACCGATCGAACCGTTGCTTCTTGTTCTGCTAATTGAGGGACTTTTCACAATGACACCTGTGTTGACCCATTTTGCCTTTGTCCTAAGTTTTTAGTGTGCTGCAGGCTGGTTATATTTGTGAGCTTATATAAATCTTCAGTTTCGTCAGAGCAGCACAGATTACATTAAAGAGGAGTTCATTGTGAACTCAACCTTTCATTTCTTCACGCTGTGTCTTTGACCAGGTTTTGTGTCCTACAGGAAGTAAATCCCAGATTTATTTTATATTTCCACTGTGCCTGAAGTGGAACGCATTGTTCTCCATTGAGTGTCTAGGTAGGATAAGCTGTACTGCAGCTGACGGGCCTGAATTCACCATGGGGAGTTTTAATTAAACCATTATTGAGAGCCACTCCACGTGGACTGGAACGATTCAGAGTCTTCGGTGGAAAACGCCGACATGTCCAGCAACGAGCTCCGTCAGTTCAGCCGCACTGAGTCCTGTTGTTCTTAAGTCTGTTTTCACCTGTTTCTCAGGAGGGCTCAGCTAAAGATCTCCCAGTGGAACTGGATGTCGTAGCCGCAGCAGCGGTCATGAATCCAGGGGTTTCTCAACGAGTTTCTGCTGAGATTTCATGTGGATTTTTTTTCTTTGGATCAAATTTCTTTTGAATTTTTACAGCGTGAAACTCAAAGTAACATCGGTATCATGAAGCACTTCCACAAACAAATACACGGATTAGTAACGCAGTAACGCATTATATCTGAAGGAAAGTAACCTGTTACTGACCATCAGTGTGTGTATATATATAGTGTGTGTGTCTGTGTGTATATTTATAGTTTTATATTCTAAATATAACATATATATATACAGTATATGTGTGTATATACCTAGATATTTGCATGTATATTTAATATATATATTTTCCCCCTAGCTTTTACTACTACTACTTTGACTTTTTTCCTGTATGTTCACAGCATGATTACACCTAAGAGCCTTTTCTCAGATCCCACATCTGACCAATAACAGCAGGTTTTAAATGCTGCGCTGCTCTGTTTACCTTCATAATAACTGTGTATCTGCAACAGGAAGAACAGAGTTTTTAATCTGTGAAAATGTCTTTTTTTTTCTATAAGGAAAGTATATGTCTGTGTCACTACCATACTTTGATACTGTACTGAACTGTATGTAGGTCAGCATTTCTTTTGAGTATATTTTTTCCTCTTTGTGGGTGAGCGTCAGACTAATGGCTTCACTCAATGTCCTTTAATGAATCATGAATTGGAAGATTTAGGTCATTAAAAAATCAAATTTGAGTCCTGAAATATTATTCAATCAGTTTTTGTGTCATTTTTTTTTTGTGAGAATCTGGAAACTTCTTCATTCAGCCAACATCAAATTCACATTAGTCTTGGTGGAGGGAATGAAGATCTCAACAAGGTGATTTTTGCTTGTGGTCTTGTGGTGTTTGTCTGCAGCCACACTCTTCTCTGTCACCTGAAGACAAAAATCTCAATATTCTGTTGGAGTGGGATTTCAAAATTTAAAAAAAACCCCAAATTGCCCACTATTAAAGACATAATTTCCCAGAGTTTATTAAATCTTACTAATAATGTTTGTTTTTCTCACTTCCTACCTTCACATTTACAGCGGGGCCAGTCCTGTTGGACTCGTTCTGACTGCCGTCGTCGCTGTGGCTTACAAAGTGGCACTAAAATTTGAGGGGTAAGTCATTTGTTTTCTTGTTTCTCCCTCTTTTTTGATGCTAAAATGCCAGATAAAATAATACCTGGGCTACAGATGGCTAGAATATGAAGAAAAAGAAGAGGGCCAAGAGTACTTCCTTGTGGAACTCCAAATACATTGTGTATACATTTGATCAAAAATAAGGCTAATCAAACTCAAGTCAAGAATTGACTTAATTTCTATGTAACTTAAACAGATTCCTTCTGATTATTATCATCATCCATCAGTCTGGACTTGGAAACCTGGTTTATTTCCCTCTGACCTTCATAACTGTAAAGGGAAACCTCTTCCATTTTTAGTTGTGTTGTGTTGTTGTTATTTCCATTTTTAGTTGTGTTGTGTTGTTGTGGGTATGCAGGTCATCTGTCCACACAGGTAACTGTAAATTGGGACACGTTGTTCAGGTTAACCTACCTTCCCACTGCACTCAGAGCCAGCTGCTCCCCCTGTTTCCTTGTTTTTTCTCAAATATCATAAAATATATATATGTATATATCATTTATTGTCATCAACATTCATCAGTGAAGCAGAAAAAAATAAGGCTAAGACGTGGTGTGCATTTTTTAAATGTATTTATCACAAACTCCCTTTAGTAGTAGAGTAGTAGAGCCAGCTGACCTACTTATGGACCACTGTAACATACAGAGACGAGCTAGTACACACACTGAAATACACAAACATGCTGCTACTGCATAAGTGACTGAAAAATGAGACGGAACTCAGCGGAGAAGCAGCTGGTGTGTGCGCTTATTCAACAAACAGGGTGTGTGTGTGTGTGTGTGTATCACTGTCTGTCTTTGATTTTACCTTAGTGTGTGTGTGTGTGTGTGTGTGCACTTGTGGGACTCTTTCTTTTGTTTTCTGTTCTAACACTGACTTTACTCCGACCCCGTTGACCAATACCTCTTCATGGGGCTCCGTTTAAAGCAGTGGTTCACAAAGTGAAGGGCGGGGACTTATTGCAGGACAGTAATGGTTTTGTTGGAATTACAGTGTTTTCAAAATCAACATTCAACCTGCTTCTGGTTCGATTGTTTAAACATGTAATGCATGTCATTTCATCAGTCCTGAGCCGTGGGTTTTAACAGGCCGACATATTTATCCAATGACATAAACAGGGACTTGGAACAACGTTGTGTTGAACATGAACGGCTCTTCTTCCTGTCGGTCCTGTGGTTGTCTACAGAGAACCAATCAATTAGCAGTTACATCTTAATATGAAGTTTTATTTTTAAATCATCTGATTTAAAGCTGACATTATCATTTGTTTTTGATCACAGGATGAACTGAACTACAAATGCTTCAGAATTAGTCACACACACAGTGGAAATTAGATTTAGTGATTGTTTGTTCTCATCATTATATATGTCCTGATTCTTTTTTGTGATGGTCCTCACACTTCAGTCTCCTTCACCTCAGACAATGATTGATAGGCATCGTCATCATCAGCCACAAGAAATTAGATGAAACGAAACCTGGCAGATGTAAAAGAGTGTTTGACCTCAGCCGAGGCACACTCATGAGGCCACACATTAAGTCACAGAGCTGCCGGAGCGAGTGCAGGTGTGCTCATCTCCACAGGTGATTTCCAGACAACGCTGAACCACAATTGTGTCATTTAGCCGGAACCTGTGAATTGAAGGAAAGGCAGGTGCTAGATTATACCACACACTGCGACCACTGGAATAGAATCATACGCTATATTTGTCTTCTGCTCCTGGCAGAGATTGTGAATGGTGTCATTTAGTTAAACTGTGCCCTGAGAGCTGGAGAGGCTGAGAAGCAGTGATGCATTGAACAGAATTGAGGTGCTGACTGATTTCAGACTCATTTGCTCCGGTGAAGCTGCTGTCACACTGCGGTGAAAACCTGACACCAAATAATGACTTTTATTCCCTTCACATCTCCTGACAAATACCTAGAATACACAGTAAAATGAGACAGGAGTAATAGTCATAATTCAGATTTAATGAAGGTGTTCACTGTGTTCATATTCAGACCAGGGAGAGCTTACGTCATTCTAGGTTTGGACTCTTCAGAGCTCCTTCGTATGGTTTTTTAAAAGCATTTGTGTCACATTTATGACAAAATTCACATGTATTGGTCATGGTCATTCTTATGCTGTGGAATTACAGGCAGAGAGCATTAAGAAGAGGACATAATGGCAGATTAAAGGCTTAAATCTGTTTTACTTTTCTTTACGGTGATCATGAGTACTGTACTTCCCCTCTAAGGCTGCATCTCTAGAAGATTTGCGTGATGTGTTGATGTGTGTGTAGGAACTGTTCCGTTTGCAGGTGTAGGTGGCTCTGCCGCCATCTATGCATTCAAGTGCATGCAAATGACGGGACATGCAGCATTATCATGTACGCACACTTGGATCGAGCTCCTTCACGCTTCATCACACACACACACACACACACACACACAGGCCCACGCTCCTGGTACAGTCTGGTACGAGGAGGCAGCGTCTGATTTATTGTCCTATCGTGTATTTGTTCTCTGGTTTTTACAGACCGTTTACCCAACACATCTATCAGGAGCGGAGTCAGCGCCGCAAGCATGAGTGATCTCCTCACTGAAACTTCCTGCTCCTGATTGGGCCAGGATTCCCACCGCTCTGTACGGACAGATGGACGGAACGGTCGAGACATTTCCCTGTGAATTTTTACTTCTTTTTTTTAGGTTTTTTTTCATGTAAACATTCAGAAAATACAAATGAGTGGATTTGACATTTTTTCTGTGTCAGTCTTTGCTTTTCTACTGCTGCAGATGGAAATCTGATATGGTCTGGGTTTGACAAGATTAGATTACAGTAGATTACAGTAGATTATACTGATCCCACACTGGGAAAATGAACATGCTACAGTAACAAAAAGGACAAAGAAGAAAGAGAGAGAGAGAAAGAAAAAAAAAACAGTTACTAAGGTGGAATTAATATAGCCAGTACAATGTGATTGATGTAAAAAAATAATGTTAAAAAATGCAATAAATAAATAATAATAAATAAATAAATACTAGAAAATGTATGTAGAAAAGAACAGACAGTTTTTTGTGGAACTAGCCGTCTTGAGCAGTTCTTCATCTTCTCCTTGTTTGCCCCCTCGTCCTGTTATATTCCACTAAACGTCCCTTTAAATAAGTCTCTATGTTTGGTCTGCCCTTTCCTTCTGTCATTTTTTTTTTGCAGCCAGTTTGTAGCTGTTCTCTGTGCCCGGCTTGTTGTAAGGACTCCTTGTTGGTGAGGAGGTTTTAGGAGTTTATTTGTCACACGCTCGAAAACAGTTTTGTTTTGGGTTTCTAACCTCTGAACAATGGCCGTCTAGACCTCAGTGATTTTTCTTGTTCTCCTGAGTTGAACCGTCTGTATATCCTCTCCTGGACTCAGATCTTTGACCACCACCTCTGTCTGTTTGTGGGTTTTATTTGTGATTCCTGTTTTTTTCTCTCTCCATCTTATTACCTTCACCAGGTTACCTTAGATTACACACCAGGGAGAGTGAACATTCCTACAGCACACACACACACACACACACACACACACACACATCTGGTTCTTCTACATGTACTGCTGACACGGTCACGGCACACAGGAGGGTCAACAGTGCTTTGGTTTTTCCATCTTAACGATAATTTCATGATGTTGTCGCTCCACGAAATAATGAAGCCTCAGTATGGGAGTTTAGCTGACTTCTACTGACCCCCCCACTCCGCCCCCCCTCTTCATGACGCACACACCGGATGCCTAACCTGACCTAATGCTGCTCGGACAATGTGCTCACTGATTATCCCTCAGTTTAACGGCTCAGAGGACAGTCACACTGAAACAGAGGGGGTTTCCTTGAGTTATTTACTGTAGTAAGTGGTTTACTGCTGGTCACATGATTACATGTAAAAGAACTGCATCATTACAGCAAGTTTGGCTCAAAGTCTTAAAAACAAGTGTTGCTCGAAATGTAAGGCTGGATCAAATGTAGAGAGAGACAACAAGCAGGGAACAAAATGTAACATTTCCACTCAGGAAATGACCCAGAGAGACACAAAAGAAAGAGTTTCAGTGGATGACCATGAGGCGCAGACACAAAACCCACTCACAGGTACACAAAGTTACAACAAGGATTCTCAGGAAGAGAGCAGAGAGACCAGGAACAGGAGATCAGCAGCACACACACAGACGCACAAAATGACCACAAACACACACAGGAACATCAGCAGGGACATTGAAAAAGTCTGTTAAAGACAGGAAATGACCTCAGAGATAAACTGGTGCCAAATCTGCAGCAATACACAGAAGGAACCAGCTGAGCGCAAAGGTCTGCAACATAACGGATTTAGGAGATGGGAAACAATCAATTTGTTGCTTAAACAAGCTGCTAATGTTACAGAAAAACAAAAAGATGAAAAAGATCAAGTAATCTGCAAATGAAATGAAAGTTACAAAAACAACAAAATATTTATAAAGCAGATAAAGATGCACAAACCAAACCAGTAGCAACAGAACTCAGTACCAAGAAGTCAGATCAATCAGAAAAACGTAGGTCTCTCTGGCTTTACCACTGACTTCTACCAGCACACATCAATACTCTATCGTCAGTGTTCAGTGAGTCAATAAACACCACATTGTCAGTGACTGTTGACTTACTATGCATTGACAGCAGAACGATAAGTTCCACTCATCGGTGACAGGGACTTAGCTGTGTCTGTTATTTTTTTGACGGTCCTGTTCAAAAACCCACCTGGTTCATTTACGGTGGTGATCAGGCCCCTCCGTGTTAGGCTGTTGACAGGTTGGACGCTGATACGGCCGTGTTTTGTGTTGCCATGGCGATCAACCTGGATTACCAGCCAGTCAAGCAGTACTTAATGAGAGCAGAGAATTATATTAAAATCACAGTGGGCAAGATTTGTTCCAGAAATGCTGAAAATGTAAGAACTTGTTGAAATGTAGCAATTACAGCAGCATGTAATTAGCAATCAGTGGTGTAAACAACAAACAACTAGCATTTAAGACTTGGAGGAGTTTTTAAAAAGCAACTTTCTTATTAAACCATTTTCTACTTACTGTACTTTAACAATGGAATCAACGTGTGTGTGTGGTGTGTGTGTGTGTTTCACTTATAATTAAGTTAAGACTTAGAATAGAGAGGTGTGTGTGTGTTTCACTTATAATTAAGAGTTTTGATCAGCTTGATGGACCAAAACATTAAGACTTAGAATAGAGAGTTTTTTGACCAGAACTACACACACACACACACACCGAGAGAGAGGGATTCGTTTTTCCCCCTGTCAGATCACCCGTGCGTCCTTGCTCGTCCAACTGCATCCTTAGTGCCCTCCTTTGGTGACTGAGAGTACTGCAGCATCAGCATCCTCCTCTGCTGCCGCTGCACTTGCTGAGTCTGTAGAGTAGAGAGTAGAGTAGAGTAGGGCTTTATTCACCCCCCTTGGGGGAAACATACTAGTACAGTAGCCAGTGGCAGTGCAGAAAAAGAGAGAAGAGGAGTTAACACAATAAATAGAGTAAAAAGAACTAAAAAGCAAAAAGCACTCTAAAATTAAAGTAAAACTTACTTATATACACAATGAACAAGATGTGAGGTAGTGACTTATCAATGACAATGATGTACAACAAAATTACAAACTCATTTAAACTTCAATCTCCAGTTGTTGTTTTTTTTGACACAGTTTAAAGACTGAGAAAATAATCCTCATGTTTACATTTGCATTTGTCCACACAGTTAATGTTTTGTTTCTTCAAACTCACATTTAACTCATCAAATGTTTCCAAACCAGTGTAAACAGTAGGTCATGGGGTCAGTGTGTACCATGTTCACGGCACCAGTTCCTGTCAGGGCCCAGTACACGTCCATCTTTATTCTTATTTTTCAACTATTTTTATGATCTGTTCTCACTCGTTCCCTCCGTTTTTGGCACAAATGCTTTGACGCACCAGTGGGAGTTTTCCTCCGCTCTCCCTGCGCTCACTGGAGAACTGAGGAGCCGCTGCTCCCGGGTCTGTGACGCGCAGGGGAAGGAGGGGAAGGAGGAGGAGTACAAGGAGGAGCCCAACGTGCCCTTAAATAGGAGGCTTCACTCAGCAACAGCTCAGATCCAAACCGACAGCAGACACAGGCATCATCTCAGAGCAGCGGCTCGGCTTTGGCCGTTTTTACGCACATTCTTTCGCACAATAGCCGCCGTTTCTACGCACTGCAGGGTTCGAACCATGATTAAGAAAATGTCTCCGTCTGAGAGCGACTTCGACATCCCAGCCAAGAACTGCTACAGGATGGTGATTCTGGGATCCACCAAAGTTGGGAAAACAGCCATCGTCTCCCGGTTCCTCAACGGGAGGTTCGAGGAGCAGTACACGCCGACCATCGAGGACTTTCACAGGAAACTGTACAGTATCAAGGGAGACGTGTACCAGCTGGACATACTGGATACTTCAGGGAACCATCCTTTCCCCGCCATGAGGAGACTGTCCATACTGACAGGTACTTGTCCAGTTTTGTTCAGTAGTACTGCGCGTGTATTCTAATAATGCAGAGCCACCCCCCTGCCGCCGCCGCCCGCCCGC